GGTTGATGTCAGTTTGAATCAAACATATTAAATATTGACGGCCTTTCCGTGTCGACTTTACCTATCAATTTAGTGTCCAAGAAGCGTTTGTAAAAAAAAAAAAAAGAAGGCAATGCTAAAAGAAACAGCGCTGAGTAGTCATTCTGTCATGGCGACATAAGATGGATTGACTATTTTTCACAATCATACGACCAAAAATGAATGTGATAGACATTTCCAAACAACTAATAATGAAAAAAAAAGTTTGTAAATCTGTGGATAAACTTCAAATGTTGTAAGAAATTTGATTGTAGGTGCGACTCTGCTTGAATCTCAATCATAATTTCTTATATGTTTCACTTCAAATATTTTGTCAGTAAACATTTTGAAATCTATGATGTCGTTGTTGAGCTTCAACAAGATGGAATCGATAAATCCTGTTTATCTCATCCGGGCGCTTATTTTCAAAACTGGTGATAGATACATAGATTGAGATAGATAGATAGATAGATAGATAGATAGATAGATAGATAGATAGATAGATAGATATAAACAGACTGAGATAGATAGATAGATAGATAGATAGATAGATAGATAGATAGATAGATAGATAAGAACAAGATTCCATCTTATTGAGCCTTAACAAAATGGAATCGATAAATCCTGTTTATCTCACCCGGGAGCTGATTTTCAGAATTGGTGAAATGTCCTGAAGTCTAGACATATATAGATAAATTATCGTGGAAGTGGTGTTGGCGTATATTATACCCAACCCCTTATACACAGGTGAAAGGTCGCAAGTCTTATTGCTGTTCTCTCGCTATTTCCATGTAAAGTATTCAGAAGACCTACATCCCTTAGTTCCACCAGTTTTGACACGCCATGCCAGGCCCATTGTAGCGAACCACCTTCATTCCCTTCGTATTTCATTGGTGAGATGGAAGTGCCACTCGAGCAGCTTCTTCCTACGAACCGATGCTACCGTGATTACTACAATCTTATCCAGTTCAAGTCTAGGGTTAACCGTTATCTTCCCATCATATCTATATAAACTGCACCTCTTACCCTGTAAAACTCTTCTTTGAGTGTCTCTTGTGCCTTTTACATGGTGAACATCGTTGTAAGAATATTGTCAAAATGCCGTAGCACGACGTAATTTATTATTGTAGATGTATTTCAGAAAACAAATCGATTAATGGATAAATTAGAAAAGACATTAGTATTATATGAGCGAATATAGTTTATATGCATGAATCAAGGAAGAAGGAATAGAGTTATACCGAATCAGAAAATAGAAATCTAAAAGAGAGACAAAGAGAGACAAAGAAAAAAAGAAATTTGAACTGTAAAAGACTTAAAGTTTCGTTCCAAAGAAAGCCTAGCTGCTATCAGAACCGTTTCGAAATGAAGCCAGATTAATGCATCAATTGAAGAATTCCAGCCTAAAGATTCTGCGTTTCTTACAAATGAACCCCTATCGATTCGCCTCCACTTGGTCTCATAAAGCCGACCAAGATTCAGAACAACTGATCTGTTAGTTAAACAGCGTGAATATTTAAAAGACACTTAATGCTTGACATACGAACAAGGCGCCATAAGATCAGAATGTAATTGTTGGCTACCCGACATAGGCTATTATCAATTGTCTTGTGTAAGATAGTTTCTAGTATAGCTTAATGATAAAGACATTGGTGTGCCACTTTAAATCTCAGCTTTTAAAAACGTCATTTAATTATTCCTTGAGTTGTTTCTACAAAGGATTTGTGTTACCACAACGTTTAAGACGATTCTTTCTGCAGTTGTGCAATTTGCAAGTGATGTGGTTCTAATCATTTACACAACAAAATATTATATAAGCGACTATTTCTGCTTATAATCTTGTAAAGCCAAAAATTGACAGTTCTTGCTCATTATTAAATGTACACCCGAATAGATCTATTAAATTCGTCGACCAAAATACCTTGGTAACTTGAATTTTGTGGATGAATATTTTGTCGCAGACATTTTATGACAGGGCGTTCTCGATCATAGCAAATTATAATGACAACAATTCCTTCGCATTGACACTCAACTGGATAATATTTCCGACAGAGTTAAGTTATAAGAACACAACTGATAAATCAGTTGCAACCTGTTGAGCGACAAGTAGTACGGGTTTCGATCGACCCAATCCACTGTAGATGTCCTGTCATTACTCATAGAATTAGTGTGGTACTAGACAACAAATAAATCTCAAGGATTATCTAATTAGATATTTCAAAGACTTTTGACAAGTTGTAGCATAAAGGATTACTGCACAAACTCTTTAGCTATGGAATAAATGCAAGAGTTTTCAATTATAAAGTCGTTCCTGACGGGTGGGTCTCTGAAGGCAGGTCTCCGAGGCCCCAGCAATCAAAGCAGGCGTCCCTCAAAAGTCGCTTCTCAGACTAACCCACCCTTTAAGTTGTTTTTTTTTGTTCTGCATAAGAGTATACTCCAATCAATTATGAATATTTATTCTGATGAAAGAACGGTACATGGGTGCACCTCCAAAACTAGACGACCAGTGATTAAAAGATAATTTCACCTCTTACCTATGAAAAAAATACTATGGAAAGAAGAAAATATATTTGGGTGGAGGATTTATTTTGTGAAACTGTTTTTTCAGAACCCGTAAATATAGTTTTGATTGGAATTTAATAAAAGAAATTATATTCTCACAAGGAACATAAATGGTACTCTAAAATGTATTTCGCATAACAAAAAAATTTTACACAGTACTTTTTCCTCCATGATAAACTAAAAAAAACCCTTTAAAATTTCTCATTATATCCCGTGTGTATATCAAATTTGAGATCTGTTCATGAAACATTTCTGTAGTGTGTCGCGAAATTTCCTAGTCATATATTTTTAAAGAGAAAAAGGTTAATTTATGTTGATACCTTACAAATGTAAATTTGGATGTTGCCTTAAACTGATAAAATTTAGAAGTAACTACAGACTGGAAAAATTAAGCTTGGTTAAATATCTATAATAAATTCCTTGATCTACAGCAGAAATCTTTTTTCTTTTTTTTTTTGAAAAAAAAAAAAGAAAGTCACTTGAAGATGAAAAGAAATTGAGTTTATCGGTGACCATAAAAAAACTATTACCCGTTTCTTCTTGAAGCGTTTGCCACGGAAATACATGGAAACCGGTCAATAAATTCTGATACGAAAAGTAACCGGATTTTAGACTAAGCTTTCGAGGCGAAGAAGACAAACCGAGGAAGATGTCGCTTGAAACCGAATAAATATTTAAAGAATATGAAACAAGATATTGATTTTTTTTCCAAGGGTCTTTCTTTAGGAATCGTTTATGTTTGCTCTTTACATAACTCGTCTTCCATTGGAAGGATTTAATCGTGGAAGCAAAGAAACACATTTATTTTTTTATTCAATGACCTTGAATACAGTGATAAGAAGACATTTAAGTTTAGTTAAATTTTAGCAGATAACAGATAAGCAAGTAAGTTATGTTGCTAAAAATATCACCTTATTTAATTTATTACTTTTATTGTCTTTCTTTCATTCTTTTTAATTTCATATTCCATTTTCTTCTTTCTTTCTTTCTTTCTTTCTTTCTTTCTTTATCTCTCATTCTCCTTTTGTCATTTCCTTTTTTACTATCTTTCCTTTTTAATTTTATGTTTTCTACCTTCATTTCTTTCACTGTTAAATTTTTCTTTCCTTCTATTGAAGAAAATATTTACGTTCTTTCTTTTTTTCTTTCAATCATAATTGTCTCTTTTGTTTTCTATTTCATTCTTTATCTCTTTTGTCTTAATTTTATTCTTTCAGACATTTTTCTTCCTTTCACTACATACACTCTATTTTTGTTAATTTCATAATTCTTTCCTCTTTTCTTACTTCCGTTTTAATTAATTCTTTTCCTACTTGAATTGCGTTTTTAAATTTAATTCATTTCTTTATTTTCGTTTCTAAATAATTTTAGTCTTTTGTTTCCTTTCTTTTTTATATTTTACTTCTTTCTTCTTTTTAAAATAATAATCCAACATACAAACACATTTTTATCTCGCTGGAAAAAAACACAAAAGTCCTCCATTGCATATTATTCATTCAGCAAAATATAATAGCCTATTTTATTTATATGACCCATTTTGATGTTATTGAACCAGAGAATCTTGTTCGTCTTTGGATACCTAGTCTCTTTTTATTCTACATTATCTGTAGGGACCGGAGGTGTTTTAAGGATTTTTATTTGAGGAAAATTGCTGGGTAAGAAAGATCGATTTTCTGATCGATACAAGGTGTTCAATGACCAACAGCTGCTTAAAGACAAACTATAGAGGGGAGGAAAGAGAGAAGAAAATAAAAATAGATTCTGAAACTAGAACCTAAATATCTCACAAAATCCGTACAATATGCAAAAGTCAATGTGTTTTCACAAGAAAACTGGAATTAGCCACAACTGATGTGTGATCAAGTTTTCAGAATATGCAGAAATTAAATGATAAATACGATAGGATAAGTTTTCACTATTTCTTTTCCTTTTTATTAATTGACATTAAATTACATGGCGTGGAATTTTATTCTTCAACTGGAGGGATACTCACCATTTTTTCAATCAATTTATATAACAGTCTAGTTACAGTTGCTTACAATAAAAACGCTTGCATTAAAAACGAAGAAAGAATAAGAAAACGTTTATAATTATTCTAAACAGGGAAAATCATAAAACAATGTTAAGAAGAAAAGGAAATAAGAAAGTACGTAACCGCGATAACAGCTGTGATAAAGGGGGAATTGAAAATGATGAGAGGGGGAATGAAAATGACGAGAGGGGGAATGAAAATGACGAGAGGGGGAATGAAAATGATGAGAGGAGGAATGAAAATGATGAGGGAGGAATGAAAATGATGAGGGGGGGAATGAAAATGATGAGGGAGGAATGAAAATGATGAGTGGGGGAATGAAAATGACGAGGGAGGAATGAAAATGACGAGAGGAGGAATGAAAATGACGAGGGAGGAATGAAAATTATGAGGGGGGGGGGAATGAAAATGACGAGGGAGGAATGAAAATGACGAGAGGAGGAATGAAAATGACGAGGAGGAAATGAAAATTATGAGGGAGGAAATGAAAATGATGAGAGGAGGAATGAATATGATGGGGGAGGAATGAAAATGATGAGGGGGGAAATGGAAAAGGACGAGGGAGGAAATGAAAATGACGAGGGAGGAATGAAAATGATGAGAGGAGGAAATGAAAATGATGAGGGAGGAATGAAAATGATGAGGGGGAATGAAAATGACGAGGGAGGAATGAAAATGATGAGAGGAGGAATGAAATGATGAGGGAGGAATGAAATGATGAGGGGGGGGGGGAAATGACGAGGGAGGAAAATGAAATGACGAGAGAGGAAATGAAAAATGACGAGGGAGGAATGAAAATTATGAGGGAGGAATGAAAATGATGAGAGAAGGAATGAATATGATGAGGGAGGAAATGAAATGATGAGGGGGAATGAAAAGGAAGGGAGGAATGAAATGATGGGAGGAATGAAAATGATGAGAGGAGGAATGAAAATGATGAGGGAGGAATGAAAATGATGAGGGGGGGAATGAAATGATGAGGGAGGAATGAAAATGTTGAGGGAGGAATGAAAATGATGATGGAGGAATGAAAATGATGAGGGGGAAATGAAAATGATGAGGGAGGGATGAAAATGATGAGGGAGGAATGAAAATGACGAGGGAGGAATGAAAATGATGAGAGGAGGAATGAAAATGACGAGAGGAGGAATGAAAATGATGAGGGAGGAATGAAAATGACGAGAGGAGGAATGAAAATGAGTAGAGGAGGAATGAATATGATGAGGGAGGAATGAAAATGATGAGGGGGGAATGAAAAGGACGAGGGAGGAATGAAAATGATGAGGGAGGAATGAAAATGATGAGGGGGGGAATGAAAATGTTGAGGGAGGAATGAAAATGATGAGAGGAGGAATGAAAATGATGAGGGAGGAATGAAAATGTTTAGGGAGGAATGAAAATGATGAGAGGAGGAATGAAAATGTTGATGGAGGAATGAAAATGATGAGGGAGGAATGAAAATGATGAGAGGAGGAATGAAAATGATGAGGGAGGAATGAAAATGTTGAGGGAGGAATGAAAATGTTGAGGGAGGAATGAAAATGATGAGAGGAGGAATGAAAATGTTGAGGGAGGAATGAAAATGATGAGGGAGGAATGAAAATGATGAGGGGGGGAATGAAATGTTGAGGGAGGAATGAAAATGATGAGAGAGGAATGAAATGATGAGGGGGGGGAAATGAAAATGTTGAGGGAGGAAATGAAAATGATGAGAGGAGGAATGAAAATGATGAGGGAGGAATGAAAATGTTGAGGGAGGAATGAAAATGATGAGAGGAGGAATGAAAATGATGAGGGGGGAATGAAAATGATGAGGGAGGAATGAAAATGATGAGAGGGGATTAAAAACGATTATACTTTTTTCTTCTTAAATTTTTTGTTTATTGATTTACCACTTTACTTTTGTTCTTGACATGTCCGTTTTATTGCAACTATTATATTCTTTACCCCTTTTAGAATAGTAAAATTCAGTTATTGACACATTCCATTCTTCACGACCCACTGGAGAGTCGTGGTAGTATGTCTGCCAAGGTCTACATCATCTTCTGATGGGTCGTTTTCCATTTTTCTTTCTATGAGAATGATTGGTAATAAGACTTTATGATCGATTGCTTATGAGATCATGGGACACCAGAGGCACATTTTTTCCCGAAAAATTTAAATATTTTTCAATATAAAAAATGAGAGTTAGTTTCAATGTAATATTTGTTTATTGGTAATGTTTCAACGACCCAGGGGTGGATCGTATGGAATACTGAGTTGTAAATGAACTCATATACCGAACGATACACGGGTGGCTCCTGGGTAATAAATACTACTTATGATATCCTTGTCTCATATATGAAACAACGTTAAAACAAAGTCTCTTGTACCAAAATGAAGATATAGCGTTGGAACCTTGGAACAAGGAGCGAAAGGAGGCTTGGGAGGGTCACGTGTTAATACTTACTCTCTAATTCCACATCTACGTAGTGAAATGGTTAGAAGTTACGAATGAGAAATCAGTTCCTTACATTCCGATACGCTCAAATGCCATCTAATCTAGCATCAGCTATGGGTTAAACAAGACAGGCTGAGGTTTTTATAACTTTGGTTAGCAACCAGACTAAGAGAAAGCAACTCTGAATTCATTATGCTGTATTTTGTATTTTTATATTGCTTAAGGTAAAATGATTTTCAAAAATCACTTATAATAAGACATTGCTAACCACTGTGCTACAACTCAGATATTTTGTATATGAAATAAACGACTAACAAAATGTTTAAACCTAACAAACTGCTACAATTATGATTGCTTCATTAACAGCATTTTACGGCAGACACAAATCTGTCAAATGAAGAACAACCTCAACAGAACAAAGGAAAAGGATTGGCTTCCAAACGCACATTATATATATATATATGTGTGGGGGAGGTGTATATGTGTGTGTGAAAAACAAGTTGAAAATGCAACGAAAGTCTTTAAGAATATTTATAAGAGACATTACCAGTTTCACAGTTGTATGATTGATTTTAAAAAATAAATTGAGATGAAGAAACTTGTGGCTATACAATATGTCGCTATATATATATATATATATGTGTGTGTGTGTGTGTGTGTGTTTGTGAATGTGTGTGTATGTATATATATATAATATATATATATATATATATATATATATATATATATATATATATATATAATTATAATATATCACACATATAGTGCCGTTGTTAATAACACAGTGCTCGATGTAGTAAAACAGAGCTATTAAGTAAATATTAATAAACATACATGTTATCCTTTATTGCTAACACGACTCGGAGTTTCATGTATAACAGTTTTCAGGTGCTGAGTATAAACTGACGGTTACGTAATTTGAATTTTAATAAAAATATCTGTTTATCACAAATTTGGCGCAGTTATATATTATACTGGGATGACAGTTATTTTAATTAAAAACAATATATTTGGCATTTAAAAGAGCAGTGCAGTTTTTGTATTTTATATTGTCTTTTTCTAAAAGTAAGCAAATATTTGGTACTAATAAAACTAAATATATAAAAGTTTTAGAACTAAGCAACCATAAAGTAAATTTAGAAAAAAACAAAGAAGATAAACATAAACAAAAACACCGTAGGCGTAAAATTATATTGTTTAATTCACCTTTTAATCGTAATGTTCAAACGAATATCGGAACCATTAACCAAAACTAAAAAAGATTTTTTAACAAAAATAATGTTAAGATTAGATATAGGTGCGTTAATAACATTGATAAATCTATATCCCAACTTAAAAACATTATATTAAATAAATATATTTTCAACAAAGACAACGGTAATTTTTAAAAAAAATACGATCTGTCCCTTAAAGGGTAAATGTACGACTGACAATATTGGAAACCGAGCTAGCTTACACTTCATATCAAGTTTTATTTTAGTTCCACTGAAAATCCTTGAAAATTTCCTTTCTGCCATCATCGAATAACTTTAGGCAATATAAAATACAAAATACAGCATATATGATTTGATTATAGTGGTGAAGTCTTTGTGCAGAACCTACCGCACTTTTTGAACCTGGTGCACTACGTGCCACAAAGTTCCCAAACGACCCTCTGATTTTGAATTCAGAATTATCCTTCTCCATCCAAGGCTATAGAACCCAGTCTATCCTGCTATTTATCCATAGCTGGAAGGAGAAGAAGAGGATTAAAATCTTTCCTAAATGAATGTAATGGATTCGACTGTAATTCAAACTCGGCTCTCCAATTCCTCAATCTTAGCCGCTATCCACTATCTATATATATATATATATATATATATATATATAGAGAGAGAGAGAGAGAGAGAACGAGAGAGAGAGAGAGAGAAAGAGAGAGAGAGAGAGAGAGGAAGAGAGAGAGAGAACCTAAAACATAGCTTGCGAATGTAACTGTACTCTAAATTTTAAGTTTAATATTGAAATTAAACTTTAGGACTTGAGTCAACTTTCGAAGCAATTTTATTTGTGTCACGATGGAATCATTTTAAAAAAAATTATAATATATATATATATATATATATATATATATATATATATATATGTCTCAGTGTGTGCGTGTGCACGTGCACGCGCATTCAACTATATATTCGTGTATCCTACAAATCTAAATAATTATGTAGTTTTTCGTGTTCTCTTCAATTAAGCACGGAAGATTTCCAATATAGAAAAAGAAAATAAGTTGACGTGAGATGAAAATCGATCTTGTTTTGATGCCATTCCCGAGTTTCTTTGTATTAATTATGGCGGGTGGAGTGAATTACAAAACAAGGATTGCTGATTAATCCTTCTTGACCTCTTCATATCTATCTATCTATCTATCTATCTATCTATCTATCTATCTATCTATCTATCTATCTTCGTCTATTCTTTTTGCCCATATACAATGGCTGTGCGTGTAAAGTAACGGCTATCGACGCGAAAAATGGAATCTCTGTCATTATTAAATTTTCACCGAATTTGTTTCGATCTCTTCACACTTATGACGTTGAAAAATGCATCCACCTCTTTTTCACCCTACCTATGGCTTTAAATAGCAGGACAGACAGTTTGACCTTGTTAGAACTGCCGAATAAGGACAACTATGAATTTAAAACCAGTCTGAAGAAGAATAGGCTCTGTCAGGCCATCTTGCCCTAGACACACCACAGCTGCTATGACTGTAGTACATATGGTTCCATTATCATCCTAATGCGTTGCCGGACTCGTAATTGTATGGTGGGGTCGGAAGTTTTCTTTTCTTGCCATCACGATAAACGCGGTACATGGAAGTACTCGCGAACAATATACTAAGTTCGAGCATTCACTGTATTTCATATAGGATATTGTCACGGTAGACATGTTGATGAAAGTGTCTGGTAGACCATGGCATCCAAGTCTTGAACTGTTTAGTAAAAGCCTATTTTTAATTCCTGTAGAGAAAACGTTATAATGAAACAAAGATTTATCGAGCAACAACTCGAACTTCTCGGAGCTGAAGAACAGTCTGATGAAGTGATGATGGACCCTGAAATAACCCCTAAACCGTACTGGCATCTACTATCGAATTGAAGTAGGGATTAGAAATAATGGCTACAATAACAAATACTTCATATGTTCGGTACACGTGCACCGGAAAGAATCATACTATTCTGTTTATTGCTTCATTCCTTAGTTCGGGGGTATTTTAAGCCCTGTCATTGTCTCAGATAAATAATGAACCATTCCTATCTGATTGCAAGGAGAGACGGGCTAGGACATATCAATATGGTTAATCAATATTCCATTTCATATTTTGGTCTTTCTCTTTATTTTGGGGTCGTAATTTTAGGTTGTCATTCAAAACATTTGGATGACATTATATCGACTCCATCTCATTTCAGTTCATTCTGTCATCCATTTTTTTTACTTAATTATATTTGTGTTGATCCCAGCTGATTATCATTCCTCTCTATGTATTATCTACTAACTTTAACTAATGATGACACAAGGCCATAAATTAGGTGCACTCAGTGAAAGATTAAATTCAACACTGTTGAAATAGTCTTCTGTGAGATTCCAGAAAGTATCTGACTCCTCATGCTATCCTCTATTTTATAAAAGACAGATTAGAGCGAAAATGGAGAACTGATGCCATATTTGGGTAGGAGTAGCCCAAACCGTACTTTCCAGTCTCGATAGAATTCACAAGCGTCTCCGAGTCCTTGTTAGAGAAGAATTATTTTCGACGCTCCAACCTTTCACTAACAACCGGACGTCGTGAGTCTCTCACTGCTCTATCGCCAGTGATCGGACGAACTGCATCTCCTGATTCTACTAGGCTGACCTTCACGTCTAGGACCCACCATGCCACTTACATAGTAGCACTCCACCCACACCCTCTTCGTATTCCATCAGCGGGAAGTAAGTTCCATCCAGACAGCTACTCCCCGCCAACCTCTGCCCTGGGGAACTGCCAAGAGGATCTTTCCCCAGTCACTACTATTTTAACCTGTTCATATCTAGAGTTAACTGTTATCTTCTTCCCATCCTATTCATATAAAGGACCCCTTATGAATGTAACCAAGTACGGAGTGAAACTTACTGTAAAAAAAAAAGGTTTAGCTTTATAGCAATTGATTCACAGTTAGGTACCCAATTTCTTATCTACCTTAGTCTGAAAATATCACTGTCTATTTTGCCCCCCCCCCACTTTTTTTAAACTGTCATTGTACATACAAATGTGCTTATGTCTACAACAGTGTGGATGGCCTAGCGGTTGCGAACACTAAAAAATGGAATTGTCGAGCCGAATTTAATTTCCGATTGAGACATTTTCTATCTGTTTGGAAAAAACATGATTCCATTTTTTTCGCCACCTTCAGATACAAGCGTGGGAAACTCTATCTTTGGGTGGCAAGGAATCTTGAAGGGCAATTCTTAATTCAGATCACTTCCTAAACCCAGTAGAGGAGGAGGGTTGGGTTTTGTGGCGAAAAAATCCTCCCCTAAAATCTATTTGCTTATGAAAGCGTAACAGCATCACGTAGTGTGGGCGTGGTTCTCATAGATATATCGATTTATCGATGTCATCCTGTTCATACTCATCTGTCTGAGTCTGTTCATATTAAGCTATAAATAACAAATAACTTTTGAGTAAAAAAGCATTAAATGTAAGAAGACAAAAAAGGGATAGAAAATGTGAGTAACTATCGGCGACATCAAGATCGAGTCGGGAACTTCAATCATCTGAGGATGGGACATTAACAAAAGGTGGAAAATGTGTCCAGAAAGTCGAAAGTGTACATGGATTTTGAAAGATATTTTTTCAAAAAGTGGGTATCTTAAGAAGAGGTTTAAAAATGACATTAGAAACAAAGTAAAAGAATGCTGAACTGTTATGTTAAATTTAATCGTTGATATGGTTTTGAATATTTGAAAACTTCATTACCAATAAAGAAATGATTTAAAGTGACTACCAATGAGATTACCAGCGGTAGATCACGTGACAAATGAAGATCTAAGGGGAAATAGAACTACAAAAAAAACAAAAAAACAAAAAAAAAAAAAAAAACTGCTGATGACAATCAGGAAGAGATAAGTTAAATTTTATGGACACTTAATAAGAAAGCGTGGAGAATTTAACCCTGTCAAGATCAAAACAAAAGAAAATATCAAAAGAAAACGAGGAAAACAGTAAGTAACCTACTTGATATGTTTCTGAA